TAAGAAGTTCAGAGGAAGCATTATGATGGCACATTAGTGCTAGCATCCCACTCCATTGTGATAGTTGTAAAAGAGGAGAATGCTAGGATATGAAAAATTGGAAGGGGTCTTACAGAACAGCCTCTCCTTTCACAGGTCCAAGAATGCAGGAAGAAAGGGACTCGCCCTTAATTTGCTCTCTCTGCAACTCCTTATCCTAGCTCCCACCAGTCAAAACAAGGAACAAAGAAAAGCAGCAGTGGAGGGGTAGGATTAGAGCTTTGGAGGTCAGAGGATCAGGACAGGGAAAGATCAACTGGCTCTAACAGCGCTGAGAAGATGAAGGGTTGGAGTTGGGAGGATCTAATTTCCTGCTTTGGGAGGGGAAGTGTGAGAAGGTGGTGAGAACAGAGATGGGAGAGAAAGGGGACAGTTTCAAGACCCCCAGTACCCAGAGATGGAGCTGAAGGAAGGACGTATACACATCTTCTGATGATAGATCAGATTCCTGAGGTCTGGAAAGTGTTACCCAGCATTATTCTAAACAGGGCTCTGAGATAGAGCAAGCAATTATGGGCCATTTAACTTAACATCATTTACAGAAAAATATTAGGAAAAGTTTGCAGAGGGGACAACTCGACAAGCATATGGTAATTTGATTAGAAACAGGCCACACGTTTTTACTGAAGGAAGGTGTTGTTTTAACTAGCTTGTTGGACTTCTTTGAAGTTACTGCCTTCTCAATTCTGGATTTTAACTCCTGATTTTTCTAATATCTATAAAGAATGGGAATAAACAGAAAGTATCTAAGTAAACAGAACAAAACCAATTACAATTGAGGACACTAGAAATACAATGGCAAGAAAAATGAATGTTGAGATGAATATAATAGCAAGAAAAAAATTTAATTTACAACATCTAGTAGCATTTAAGTCAAGATATTTTTCATGAAAGGTATGTGATTTGAATTTTGGTTTGTGAATATATGCCCTATGTCATTTCCTAAAATACTCTGCAGAAAAAAAGTGATTTTTGTTAGTTTAACTGAGAAAACAAAAACCAAAAACCAAAAAACAAAACAAAAAACAAACTCTTAGCCTTTTTTTTTTCCTTCAATGGATTGACTTTTCGGTGTGGTTAAAAATTTGGTGTGGTTAAAACATTCAGATGAATTTCTCATTAATACAACCTTTCAAAATTTTCCAAGTGAAAAATTCTCAAACAGAATGAAGACATCTTATTTTATTTTAAATTAAGTAGTAAATCAATATTATTATTTCCATACCACCGAATAGCTACTAAAGCTTCGGAAGGAGAATTAGAAAAGATAAAAATCAAGAATAAAATATCAAAGTACTTATTAATGTTGGCTTGAAGACTTTATTATAACTTCTTATCTACTTTTTACTGGTTGATCTGTACAATTTATCATGTGTCATTGTACTTTTCAAAAGGTTCTAGATTTAAGTAACTGATCTATACCTCTCTCTATATGTACAATTTCCACAAGGGTGGGGAATGTGTCTGTTTTGCTCATAGGCCTAACATAGTGTTTGGTAAATATTTGGTAAATGGATGAATAAATAAATAACAATAATAGCACGTCAATATTGGGTATTTTACTGTGTAACATACTATTTTAATAAGCATTTTGTATAATTGACTGTTAATTCTTCAACACTTCTATAGACTTCTAGCTCTCCTATTGATCTCATTTTTAAAGTCAAGGAAACAGAGGCATTGAGAAGTTGAGTAACTTGCCTAGTCACACAGCTAGTCATTGGCAGTTTTTGAACTCAGGTGGTCTGGCCCTAAGGCCCACACTCAGGCATGACGCTACTTCTTCTCTCTGAATGAAGCACATTGCAATGAGTCTGTGTATAAATGGGTACACATACAGGAAATTATATACAAGAGAGGAGATTTAAGAGGCACAGAACTCAAGTGTTAACATTGCCATCACCAGATACTGGAAATCAGGGGCAATGGGGGATTTAAAGTCTGATGTCCAGGATCAAGATTTTCACAGAAGCAAAACTAAACATTTAAAGGAAACATAGAGATTGATAGGTAAAGAACTAAAAGAATGTGACTCCATTCTGCTCTAATTGGATGCCAGAGTCCTTAGCTCAGAACAAAAACTTTCAAGACTTTCCATGTTGGTAACAGAAGCAAGATTTAAGGTTTTGTGGTAGCTAAATCAATGAGGACAAAAATTACTGGTGCATGTGGAAGTATGTTCTATATGGCATCATCGGTGGTCTTTTTTGGGGTAGTGCTGTCCTGTGCTGAGTAAAGAACCTTTCTTAAAACTAGCCTGAATCTTATTCAAAAAACAACACAAAGTTCTATTTCCCTTCAGCTGCATTAGGGTATTGATGTTCTGAGACCTGATATGTCCTTATCATTTTTTTTTCAAATTTTCTTGATGGTATTTATTTATTTATTTTTTCCTAGCAGTCATTCTGGAACCATTTGACTCTAAGAAGATTTAGTTTATGTTTTTGGCTTCAGAGTGCCCAATATGCTGAGAATCTGGGAAGATGCATGATTAAAGCTAATCAGGAGATCAGAGTTTTAAAGAATTCAAGGAAGAAAGAAAAAAAAGTCTCTGGCTCTTGCGAGATGGATTTAAGACACTTAAATGGGAAGGATCCAGTTTAGACATGGGAGAATTCCCCATCCACCCTATACTGAGTGCTGACAAACCTCAGAGAAGCTGGGTGCTTTTCAGGACTCACTCTGAATGACTCTAGATGTGTTGGTTTTAGGGCCCTGCACCTAAGTGAAAGCTCATTTACAAGTCAGTCTCCAGTTCTGGTCACCTTTTAACTAGAAGAATACTATCACCCCTAAGGCAATTCTATATAAGTCTGTCAAGCTGGTCCAAGTTTTGGGAAAACTTGTTGTTCTGAGGAATGAGGTTAAAAGTTTAGTCTCACTATACAAGAAAAGCTTGTCCCACAGAATATTAAGTTGAAGTGGAGTGAACAAAACGAATGTAGCCTAAAGGCTTAGAAAGATGAAATGTAGTTAAAAATCCCAAATCAAGCAGGGAATCCCAAATCAAAAGAAAATCTAGGGTGAGAGTCCCATCAGTGAAAAAAGCAAGCAAGCATTTGAAATAAGATGCTTCTCTTATGTTCAAACAACACTAGTGTAAACAGAATTGCAGAACAGGTATGATGATGACATTTGAATGGACAAAAGAAATGAGGAGGGATGCAGCACTGTTAGGGCAGGAAAGAGGGGTCGATACGGACTCTAAGAACCATCTTGTTAGTCCAAGGGTCCTTTTCCTGTTCAGCAAATTCTTTTGTTCTGTGTCCTTATCAATCCCCCACCTTGCCTAAGTAAGAATGACAGACAAGCCATTCTTGATGACTTCCTAGCTTTTGAAACTATTTTGGTGTCAGAGAAAGAACCACGTTTCAGTTGTTACAAGGATGGAGGTTTCTGTGGGCTCAGTAAATTTTCTACTCTGAGATGACAATTTTTGTTTGTGAGGAGAGAAATAAATTTGTCCATTTACGTGATCTGTGCAATAGTCTGGAAAAATGACACCCTTGTGGCACCTCTTTAGGACAGGGAAACAAATGCCAGTGTGGCTAGGGGGCTCCATAGACAGGCATTCCTTGCGGTGTCAGCAGGAGTGTGCTGGTATCTTCCTCCCCCAGAGATGGAGCACATCCTCTCCTTGGCACACCCACTTGCCATTAGCACAGGGAACCATTGTTCACTGTGTGTTAGAGACCCAGCCACGCCCTGTGCCAGGACAATGCACTGACTCTACAGCTCTAGTCTCTAAGCACTGCTGATTTCCTTTCCTTTTTACTTCCTTCTGTGTGTCAGAGTACATGAAATGAAGTTTGTTCTTTTGTTTAAAAAAAGAGATTTTAGAGGGTGATTACTGATGACATACTCACTGTCAGTTTCTCTTCTCTAGGGTTTTCCTAATCTCTGAAATACTGTACAACATATAAGGTTCAAAGCACAGATAAAACAGGTTCTATTTTCACAGCTAATGTACATTTGATTAGGAAACCTCTGAACAATTCTCTCTGAAGATGCTGTTTTTGATTATTTTTAGATCTATTTAACATGCTGGGTTTTGTCACCATAGTATGAAGGTAGACCACTTTATTTTTTATTTTTTATTTTTTTTTTAATTATTTTTTTTTTCAACGTTTATTTATTTTTGGGACAGAGAGAGACAGAGCATGAACGGGGGAGGGGCAGAGAGAGAGGGAGACACAGAATCGGAAACAGGCTCCAGGCTCTGAGCCATCAGCCCAGAGCCCGACGCGGGGCTCGAACTCACGGACCACGAGATCGCGACCTGGCTGAAGTCGGACGCTTAACCGACTGTGCCACCCAGGCGCCCCAGAAGGTAGACCACTTTAAAGTGACAGCACCAAGCTAAAAATCTTTATAAATTGAGGAAAAAAGGATAATAGGCACTAACAATCTATAGGTCATTTCTTACCACAGAAAATTTTGTATTCATCCACCCATCAGTCAATATTTATTAAGCACCTACTTATTAAAGCCTAAGATATTTTTTAAAAAGACCTTATCCTCAAAGAATTCATAATTTGGTAAAAAGAGAAGGTCATGTAAACAAATGAGTATGATAAATTATAATAGGTGTTACAGCATGATTATGCATAGCATATAATGTAGATACAAATGAAGGAGGAAAGATTTTAGTGGTAGTAAGTAGTATATTGACCAGAAAAGTATTCACAGGCAGGACAGTACATGAGCTAAATCTTAAAAAAATGTACGGGGGGATTGTTTATGGGTTAGGTTTGTGTGGGTGCATGTGAGCGCATGTGAGTGAGTGTGGGTACATGTGTGAGTGCATGTGCATATGGGACGGTATGCAGCCCTCCAGGTCTTGAGATCTTGCAGGTTATGGAGGGCCTTGTAAGTCAGACATCCCTTATCAGGGATCAGCTATCAAAGCTAATAATGTGAGGAGACTTGCCTTGGATAGAAGTCTCTGTTTCTTAAATCAACTACTTCCTTGGCTGTATTTTACCCTTGTTTTCCTTGATAAAGCAATGGATTTCGTGCTGAGAATAACAACTCAAATTCAATTCACTGTAGTCTGTTTTGGGACCTGACCATTGAAGGATGTCAGAGAACCCAATGGAAAGCTTTGAAGGCTGACTGTGGATATTCACTAAGAACATCTTCCCAGCCAACCAGCCAGCCAAATGTGGCCACGCACTGGGTGGCCATGGAGTCCTTACCACTTCAGTTGGTCGGTAGTATTTGAGATCCACAGTCACATGAATTTTTCCGGTCTCTTTACATCTGCCCACTTCATTTTCATTCTTTCCTTCCCACCTGTAAAGGAGATAAACACTTAATCAGCCTCTAATTGCTTGGGAGCATTTGCCATGTTATAGTCCCTCAGGATGGCTCAGCCTTCTCCCTGCAGGAGTATATAAGCTCATTAACTACAGGAACACAGCTGATGTGTCACCATGTTATCAGGGCAACAGTGACTTTCAAAGCCTTTCCAGATCTGTTTCTAAAGGGTAGGGTTTTTTTTTTTTTTCTTCTTTGTAAGAAAATCATGATGGGTTCAGAAGTACAACTTCAGAAGTGAACAGATTAGCCAGAATAAGGAATTGGGCACAGGGATTTCAAAGATTTTGCACTTCTTTAGACTATTCTTGATAACATCAATTATTATGAATTAATGTCTTCTGTCTCCCTTTTATTTATTTTTTAAAATTTGTAGTGATGTTTTAGGGATATTTATTGTAAACTTCAATGCACTCCAGTTTGGAATAAGTTTCATACCCTAAATTAACCATTCATCTCATCTCTGTGTTATAGCAAGTTCCATTCCTCTATTCAGTCAGCAGTAGGCCTCATTAACAAATCTCAGACTATTAAACCTCCAAAAAAATACACAACTGGTTTACTGCTTGCTAAGAGAGGGTATATTAGCATCAGCTATGGTATGCTTTGGACTTGGGTTTTTCTTCCTTAAACATCCACAGTTGGAAACAGTCCCCCCTCAAGTCTATACCGCACATTGTGCAGGATATGCTCACAAGTTTCAAGACCAACTTCTTTCTGGAATTCCATTTTATGTTCTCATTTTTAAATAAATGAAGACACTGGTTTCATGTTAGCCTCTGGAGACAATACTATACAATTAAAATTATTTTTACAAATGAAACTTTTCAGCAAAGAAAGAAAAGAAATTACAAAGTAATGTCTGACTTCCATGCTTATCACCAGACCTAGTTTGCTTTATCAGTTGGAGAGGAATCCTATGCCAACAGGACAATTCTGTGTGCTCCCTGGATCAGAGGCACAGTGGAGATCAAAGCAAAGAGTAGAACATTAAATTAGTTGCTTGACTATGTCATTCACACGTGTCATTGAAGACAAATAGTAAATATTGATTGTGGCTGTATTTTGGACATAGCTGGGTAGTAGAGACATAAATTGCCCTTATAAGCTTAATTTCTGAACAATCACTGGAATGTTCTATTCTCAACTTACTTTTTTATAGCAGAGGGATAACATGTCATTGTTGGGAAAACTCAGTTTCTAAGCACATTGAATTTGCCAGTGGACTCCAGGCAAATATGAAAAACATCCCATAACACATAGGGATTCATAGTATATGTTGAATAATAAAACTGAACAACTGGCATTATATTAATTAGTTGCCTCAAAAAGAGGTGTTTGGTAACTTACTTTTTTGGTTTAATTTCTTACTATTGATTAGACTAATTTGGCAGGGTCAGAGCTAAGTTTTTGGAAAATTCACCTGGATATGGTATGCGGATGCTTTAGAACATGCAGACTGAAAACAGTGTAAAATGAGAAAACCCAAAGTGGTTATAAACCCTATCTGTCTCTAATAGAAAAGACCACATGTTGGCAAATATCTGCAGTAAGGGAGAATAGATAAATCATTACTTTAAATATCTGCAGTAAGGGAGAATGATAAATCATTACTTTAAAAATTACCTAGCTAATTTTAAAGTTAATTGTTGAAGTGGAGCCTTTTCTTTGGTAAGGCTTTCAGTGGGTGAAAGGATATTTGTATCTCATAAGCATGTTTTTATTCTTGTTCATGTTTAATACTAACAAAGAGAAACCAGTCCAGCATCTGTCTTCCTGATGGTATCTCCCAGTAAGCCAAAAGGGTTAAAAAATCACTGCTCACAGTTTTACTCTTTTCTCCTATGGTAGCTGGGTATGTAATCTATAATGGGTCAGGCTGACTTATGTGCACACATACATATCCATAATTCTGTCCTTCTTACTGATAAATCTTCTCAGATGTCACCAACTTGAAAATTGGTGATTCAAATGTACTTTTAGTTGATTTCTTTGAAACCACACATGAACACACATATATTTAAGTTGATAAAGGCCTGGAAAAGACCTGGAGAGCTTGACTGGGGAGGGAACATGTCGGACAGGAAAGGAATGAGGAAAAGCCAGCTGTGTCTTTAGAGCAGGGGCTGACAAACTGTTTCTGTAAAGAACCAGAAAGTAAATATTTTAGGCTTTACAGATCATATATAGTCTCTGTTACATAGTCTTCCTTTCCCCCTCCCCATTCTGTTCTCTTCCTCCTCCTCTTCATCACCATCATCATCATCATCATCATCATCATCTTTTTTCTTAAATTACCCTTTAAAACTATAAAAACATCCTTACAGGACAGTAGAAAACAGGTGGGGTTTGGCCTGTAGGCCATAGGTTCCTTACTCCTGCTTTAGGGGATGAGTTAATGCTATATCCTCATTCTTAACTTAAAACATTTAATTCCTTTTCATACCAAAAAGTTGCATTGCTGGACCAGCTTAAATTTTGCAGTTTACTGCTTCTTTTTGGCTGCTCTGAAGCCATATGCTAACATGTGGGATTTATGACAGTAGTTGAAATGGGAAACGACTGACGGAAGGAAACTGCAGGTTAGATTTGAGTTTGATGCTACTTGGGCACCTGTGTGTATCAGCTCTGGGCCCACTTCTTGGGCCTCTGTCTGAATACTGTCCACAGGGCTGCCATCTTGCAAATGCTGTCTACAGTCCAAATCGTCTCTGTGGTCACTGCATTGCCCCCACTACTAACACAGTTGCATCGAATAATCGAGTATAACCAGGAAAGGGCTCAAAGCAGAACTGAGTTGGCAAAACCGCTTTGTAATTTGCACTAGGTCTGCATGAAGGCAGTAAGCAAAAGTTTCGGCCAAGGGCCAAAAAACATTCAGTTACAACAATACACAAAACACTTGTATTAACAAGTAAAAGGTAACAGCTAACTTGTCCTAACAAGCAATGTTATGACTCAAAGCAGAGCTGGGATGTTAATGAAATGAAGGTAGCTTGACAGGGAATAGAGGATTCAGCTAATTAAAAGGAATTGCTATCCACCAATTTAGATCAACAGCTCACTGAGAAGAGCCTCTGTATAATTCAATTTTTAAAATATATTGTTGGCTCCTAATAAGCATTAAGTGGCAATAGAAAACATTCAAGAACAACAGAATCAAGCACAATAAGGAAAGATGAGGTGTTATTAAAATCTACTCAACTAGGAATTCCTTTAAGGAACAACAAAAGCAAAGTCAACTGTATTAAGTCAAGCTTAGGAGACTATGTTAAAGTAAGGGAGGGCACGATGCACCCCTTATAAAAACCTGAATATCACAAAAGTTCTCAAGGATTATTTAAAAAAATATTATTTTATTAAGGATGTATATAAGGAAACAGGAGGTTGCCAAAAGCTACAATTTAGAAAATGACACAAAGTAGTCCTGGGAGAATTATTAGGTTCTGAATGAAGGTGGTGGTTTGTACAGTTTTGCTCCTGTCTGATGCCCCTTTCAAAAAGGAACATACTCAGAAAGGCTAAAAGAGCAAGAAAGAGAACAGAAACCAAATTCTGGAAGCTGGAAGGCCAGATGGATGAGTGTTAAAGGACTTAGCAGAAGCCCTAGAAAACAGACTCCTAAGCCAGCAGTGGGGAAGCTGAAAATGAACTCAATTTACACTTGCAGGAGCCCTCAGATGTCAGGAAGTGAGGGCGGATTACAATTTTCCTTGAGAAGCAGTGTGATGCCCAGTCCCCTCCCAGATCCTACATTGCTTGGCAACTGCCTCACCCTCCCTGGAGAACAAGGTCCCAGATCTGAAGGTCACTGGGCTTGGGAAGGGGTAGGGCCACGATGCTGAAAACAAGGAAAAATCTAGTGAGGTATGTGCACAGAATGCTGAGACTCCCCAACCAGCCCCAGGGTGCTGGCAGTCAGGCATGTCTCCTTTCAGGCAGGAGACGAGGAATCTTCTCTGGGTATCAGGGATTCTCCAAACTAAATGGTCCTGTTAGGTCCCCCTATAAGTGACATAGTCAACAAGCTCTAACTATGTTCTCAAACTCCCAATTAGCTTTTTAGCCCCCACTTTTAAACATGAGCAGAAAACCAAGGACTACCAGACAGACATGTGGGGAAAACCACATATAGGAAAGAGAAATCATAACAAACAAATTGAAAACCAGCAAGCTGGAGAAAATAGGACAAATAGAAAAGGTAATCAAAAAACAAAACAAAAACACACATTCTACTATTAATATCTTCAGAGATATGAAAAGATACCAAAGAAACAAAAATAAGACAGTATATAATAAAGGACAATTTGGAAAAAAAATCTTAGAAATTGAAAAAAAATTGAAAAAATTAAAAGTTCAAGAGGAGATTTTGGAGATAAACTGAGGAAATCTCCCAGAAAGGAGAGCAAAAAGATGGAGATATGAAAAACCAGAAGAAAGATAAGAAAATCAGAATATGGCCTCAAGAGGTCAGTATAATAGAATTTCCAGAAAAAGTATAGAAAAAAAGGAAACAGAGAAGAGCAGATAATTAAGTAAAATCAAGACAATTGGTCAGAGAAGAACATGCATTTCCAGACTGAAAGGGCCCAACAGAGTGCTCTGAATAATGGATGGAACCCATATCACATGAAATTTCAGAACATTAGGACAAAGAAAAAGACTGACAGACTTCCAGAGAGAATACACAGGGACTAGGAGGCAAAATGGCTCTCAGTCTCCCATAGTAACACTGCAAATTAAAAGGCAATGGAGCAATACCTTCAAAATTCTAAGGGCAAAGTATTTCCAACAAAGCAATCTACATCAGCTACCTTCTTAATTCTGAAGGCAGAATAAAGGTATTTTCAGATGTACTGGGTCAAAAATATTTGCTTTCCATGCACTATTCTTAGAAATAAGATTTTGCTTCATCAAACCAAGGAGTTTTTATTTATTTTTAAAAATCTATTTTATTTATTTATTTATTTATTTAT